AGAATAAATCTTAAAAATAAGAATAGAGATTAGGAATGGACAGAAGGCAAAAGAGAGTTTACAGCAATAATGCAAGACAGTTGTCCAGGGAGCAGAATGCTTGGCACCCAGCTCTCTTAACAGAAAGCTGGACTATCCCAGTAAGAAACAGCATTTCTTCCACTTGGCATGGAAAGGAATTTAAATTACTTCCACTTGTCAGTGTCAGAGTTTTAATAATGTTTCTGCACACTGACCAATTTTAAATGATGAATATTAGTCAAAAGCAATCTGTTTTAAGCCATAAACAAAGAGCAAGAGTACGGAAACTTCTTTGCATGAACACATACATCTGTTACTACGGAACGTAAAGGTGAATGTCAGGAAGAGTTGGGAATTCACCCCAAAGTTCTTATGTTCTACTGAATTAACAACTTTTGACATCACACCCTTCCAAGACACTGATTTTAGAGTTACTGTCCTCCCCAGTGTTACCAGTGGCTGAAGGAAAGAATTGTAAGTGAAGAAGGGAGAAAACAGCAGAACAAGCTAAAAGACCTTTCTCCAATTGCTGAGCGTCTGGGATGCACACTACCTCAGCTGGCTGTTGGTAAGAAAATTACTGGGGGATGGTGGAGCAGGGTATGGGTTGGGGGTTACTTTTGCTGTGTGTACAGAATACTTTTCTATGGTTGATCCACACCCCATCATGATAGAATGTCTACTGTAGGGGCAAGCTGATCTCAGAAGCATAAATTTCTCATATATACAGCAGAAAGTAGCTCAAGGCTCTCCAGAATTTTCTATATGCTAAAATATTTTTCTTCTTTCTCTTCTCCCTTCTAACAAAGATTAAGTGAGAATACACTAGTGCAAACATGCACCTTTTCACAAGTGAACTATGTCACTATGCAGTGACACCCATCTCTTCTGGCTGAGTTCCTTCCTCTGTTGATGCTAAGATAGAGTCAGTAAGAGGTTGAGAAACAGAGCTACTAGAAGCTCAAGGCCACTGCCACATGGAAAGTTGATTCTGCAAGCACAACTTCCTCTGGAAACTTTTCAACAGCCATGAAAATTATTCTTATGTGTAGAGTCCGTGAAAGGTCATGGTCACCCGAAAACCACATGCGCTGGCACTGTCCATTACAAACATAATGTGAACCACTCACTTCATTTCAAATTTTCCAGTGGCCATATTAAGTAAAATAGAGATGAAATTAATTTTAATAAGCTATTATCATTTCAATGTGTAATATAAAAATGAATCAATTTTTTAAAATTTTATTGATTCAAGAATTTCATACAAGGTACTTTGATCATATTAAGACCCCATCTCCACCTCTCAGCCCCCCCCCCGATTTTTTTAGCACTCGCTTTTTCAATCTTTTTAAAACTCAGGATCCATTTCATACCCGCAGCACCTTCAGCCTGCACATGGGTTCAACACTCACACGTGGTTAGCGGCACCACATTAGACAGAAGAACATTCAAACTTTTGGGGGTGGGGCATTGCTAGGCCGTGATAAACACCTCACCTTCACTGTCCTATCTTGTTAGTCATCAGAACAACCCTGGGAGTTGTGCACCAGTAGGAACCCTGTCTTACAGGCGGCACTGACAAGTCACTAGAATTGGCATGGTAACTGAGAAAAGAATGAAATGGTGCTAATTCCAGGGGGGATAATCCTATTGACTAAGAAACAGTAGAAATTGAAGCAAATCAGACACACTGACCCGAGATGTAAAGCTCATGTTAAGGCCAATTAATAACTCAAAATCAGGATATGTGTTGGTAGCTTGACTCTTCTTAGGTAGGAAGTCAGAAAAGACGTTAGTTGCAGTGAACAGTGCTAGAAAAATGGAAATGAGGCCCTGGAAGATGGCTCAGAGAATAAAGGCATTTACTGCCAAGGCTGAGACCTGAGTTCAATCCCCAGAACTGATACAGTGCAAGGAGACAATGATTCTTCCAAGGTGTCCTCTGAGTGCCATGACACCTGAGAGTGCACACACATGCACGCACACACACACACACAATAAATACATTAAATAAAGTAAAAAATTTTAAGTGAAAAATGGAATTAAGCATTGGTTTATTATGTACCAGATATATTTATGACTATCACCTTAGTCCTTTCTTTGAAAAAATATGTTTAAGGCAATTTATTAGCATATCTGCAGCCTCAGCAAAAAATATTAGCTATTTGACCAGTCAAGTTATCAAGCCTGATTTGATTTTCTTACCTGTAAAATGGGTATAATACATATCTTACAAACTTGATGAATAAAGGGCGATTATATATGCAAAGTGAAAGCTAGCCACTCAGTAAGTGCTTCTGATCATAATGGCAATGAGAATATTTTTGCAAAAAAATCAGACATCCTGGGCTTGAGGTTTTCTTCACCATGGGCATGTGTTAGAGTAATACATACCAAAAAACACATTCTATCATCCTAAGTAAGATTTTAGGTGGCAACATAACATGAATACACTCAGCCCATGGAGTCAACCAACCATGTATATTGTTTAGGGCATTGGGAGTCATCTAGAGATGACCTAAAGAATCCAGGAGAGTGTGTATGTAAATGCCATGCCACTTTATATAATGGGATGCAGTGTCCCTGAATTGTGGTATGGGAGGGGGGGGGCTGGAGCTAATCCCCCACAAATACTGATTAAATTTAACTCTGAAAGGACATTATCTTCCTAGAAAGGAAACCTTGTAAACATTTAGACTTTCACTGAATGTTAGCTATTCATGAAGCACTCTTTACATGGAGCTTGAGTGTAACTGAGACATGCTGGGTTTTTGTTTTTTCCCTTTTGCCTCCCTCTGTGCCTCAGATGTGCTACTTGCCTGTCATGTTTTTCTTCTTTCTTTATAAACAAGTTTTGTTTTTAATGACAGAATTCTCAGTACCAAAAGGGAATGATTTCCAGCTTCAGTGCCTCTGATCTGCAAGGAGAAAGTGGGGGTTGGGAAGGGGGAGCTTCCAGCAGGAAAGAAATACTTGAATCCAAGTGTGATCAAAGGGTTCCAGAGGGGTAAGAGGAAAGAGCGGCATGATGTTCATGTTCGAGTGAAGAGATTAAAATCAGTGTTCCTGAAGCACCATAGTCAATGTAAGCAGACATGAAGCTAAAGAGGCAGGATAAAGATGTGCCAGGATAAGAAAAATGAGTGTCATCTTAAAGCAAAGTGATCTTGTCAGGCAGGCACAAGTTGAAGAAGTAACTTTAAGACAGGGAAGTGATACCACCAAATTTACATTTAGAGAAGCTGCAGCTATAGGGAGGGACAGTGCAAGCAAGAAGTAAGAAAGCCAGTGATGCAGGAGAGCTACTGAGGGCCCAAAGGAGGGCAGTGGTGGCAGGGAGGAGGATGAACAGGGCTGTGATCCTCAAAGTGCCTGTACAGTGGGATACTGTGCAGCAGGGAAATGGGACAGAACAATGCAACACAGAAAAAACAAGGTGTGCTCACCTTCTCGTCTGAAGCAAAGTAAAGAAAGAAGTGAAATCCAAAAACCTCAGAGATGGAGCTCAGTTGGTAGAGTGCTGGCCTAGCATTCAAGAAGCCCTGGTTTTGATCTTACCACATAGACCTGGGATGGAGGCACATGCCTGAAATCCCAGAATTCGGGAGGCAGAGCAGAAGGGAGTCTAAACTGGCCTTTTAGAACTTTAAGAAGGAAGATGCGGAAGCGTCCAGGCAAGTATGAAGAGTCAGAGTCAGAGGACATTTTAGAGTGGAAAAATTTTGAGCATGCCTTGCTGACACAGAGGAAAATAATGCAAAAAACAAACAAAAATCCAGGGGAGAGAGAGACACAGAGAGAGAGAAATAGAATAATATTTAATCAAATCCAAGAAAAGGCAAAATGCAAATGGATCCAGAGCCAGGGCAGAGTTTGGCCCTGAGCCAAGAAAGTATCTATCTTCCCCTGTAACTGGAAGATATGGATGTGGGTGCTATGTAGACAGAAAAATGAAGAATATTCTACATGGTGCATTTAATTTTCTACATTAAGTACAAGGGAAGGTCACATGCTGGGTGAGTACAGGTAAAGGTAACTGCCAACATGGTGGCCCATGCCTGTAATTCCAGCACTCAGGAAGCAGAGGCAGGAAGATCATCCTTGGCTACATGAGATCATCCTGGGCTTCATGAGACCCTGTCTCAAGAAAGCAAAAAAAAGCACACAAAAAGGAGTAAAGGTTATAAGGACATTTCAGGAAAAAGAGATAGTTAAAGGGCCAGAGGGAGGTTTGTCAGGCTGGCTAAGGCCCAGTGGCAAGGTGGCAAAGGACCATAAGATCATATGGTTCTCTCATGCACACTCCACTGACCCTAAGTAAAAAACACAGATGCAGTTTGGGTGGGATTTGCTAGAGAGGCAGAGGATGAAGAGGAGTGGGCCTGTAAGAGTTGGTGAGAGAGCAATTTAGATAATCAACAATGGAGGGTGAGAGGTTAACAGATGGGGAAACAGCACAAATTAGATGGAAAGGCATGGTATCACAGGCCCAAGCAGAAGAAACAAGAATCCAGACATTAGCTGGTGAGTAGTGGTGGGTGTTTTAAAAAACAATGCATTACTAGGATGGGGAGCTAACTGAATACTCTGGTAATCGGGGCAAAACCAAGAAAGCATTAAGAGCTCAAAACCCACAATTCAAATGCACAAGCTCCTTTACTTTTCTGCACAATGGGGTAATCTTCTGCTCGGGTTTTTAATCCAAGAGAGCACTGTATATCCTACAAACGCACATCTCACATTAATAAATTTTGGCTCTAACAAACGTAACTGTAGTTGATGCTTATGAGTGCTAATAATCAGAAGTGCTTTGACACACTGACCTGGTGCTCTGCTCTTTTTCCAGCATGGTGCCTGAGAAACGAAGGTGTGAGTTCTGTGCTCCTGGGATCATCCACTCCTGAGCAACTCATTGAAAACCTCGGTGCCATTCAGGCAAGTGCTGCAGTCTCTACCAGCAAACTCCAGGGACTGCCCTGGTGCCTTTGATGACTCCTCCAGGCAAGGGGGACAGAAGGCACAAAACCGTAAGAAGCAACAACACACTTTCACAGTACACGGATCAGGGCTGTCCTCTGCTAATTTAGCAAACAATCTTGTCAAACTCCATGGTGGTTTGTTTCTGTGGGACAGTACATTCCGATGTTATACCTAACAGCTGGCTACCAAGGCCTGATTATAAAAGCATATTTAACAGCCTGCTTAAGATAGAACAGTCATATGACAGTATACAAATATCACTTATTCATGTTTTCTCCACAATTATTTATACTTATGTCAAGCTCCTCCATCTTTGTCATCTCACAGCACCCCATGGTGCGACAGTATACAAATATCACTTATTCATGTTTTCTCCACAATTATTTATCTATATACTTATGTCAAGCTCCTCCATCTTTGTCATCTCACAGCACCCCATGGTGCCCACGCCCCATCAAACCATGTAGAACGTGTGTGAATTGCCTGTGTTGTACATGCCCTTCCCCTCACCCCTCCACCTCACTGGACTGTAAATCCTAAGGTCACAGTCCCGTGGCTCCCTTGCTTGTCCACTGACTTTCCACTTCCTACTGTGTGACCCTCAGTTATTACTCAGGAAGCATCTGGTGCATAAATTCTATTTGGAACTTACAAGATCACGTTCCTCTAGAGGAAAATCCAAGAGCTCCATTCCATCTTGAGACCCTGTCCTCATGAGATGGCCTGAGGTCCAGGCACTGGGTAGAAGTTGCAAACCCCCCCCCCCCCAGGGAGTGTAGAGGCAGTAGAAAACGAATGACACTCCAGCGCTTCTGAGGAAATGGGTAGAGCTAGTGGTCTACTGTGACCAGCTTCCTTCACTGCAAAGCACATCTCAGTGCTGAGCCTGTCCCTCTCGGCTCTGCTGGTCCAGGAATGAGCCTGCACACTGCTTTGCTTCAGCCGCTACCTGCAAAACAAGCAATGGTGCTTTCTCTTGTTCACTGAGGAACAGAGTGTCTCACATCTCCTCTACCCATCTGTTCCTAAAACAAGCCCTGCTACCTCCCAAAAAGAAACAGATGAAGGTGAGAGCAAACTTGGGTATTTAAAAGTGCTCTTTAGAAATAGACAAGAATATGTTGAAGAATAAATGGTAGAGACCTCCTACCACCACCACCACCTTCATTAGGACCACACAGTGGGGCAGTCATCTCCACTGCTGCTTCCAAACCCTGCCCAGCCACGTAGCTCTTCCTGGATCTTATGGGGTCCCTGATCCGTTATAGGGAATGCTCCCTCTCAGGAATCACACCACCTTCTCGTTTTCAGTTATGCACTGGAAAAAGATAAGGCTACATGATGATAAGGAGAGGAGATGGGGGAACAGTTTGTACCCAAGGGTACTGAAATTCAGTTCAGTGATTTCAATCCCACTCATTTATGGAGCACTTACTCTGTCTGGCACCAAGCTAGACAACTGGATTACTGTGATGAGTAAGAGAAAGATCCTGCCCTCAAACTGCTCATGGGCTAAAAGAGTGAATTAAGAAATCTATACCTTTGGGGCTGGAGAGATGGCTCGGCGGTTAAGAACACTGACTGTTCTTGCAGAAGACCTGAGTTCGAATCCCAGCACCCACATGGCACCTAACAACTCTCCATAACTCCATTTCCAGGGGATCAGAGGGCCTCTTCTGTCCTCTGTGGGCATTGCACAACACAGGTGCACTTACCTACATTCAGGCATAACACTCATACACATAAAAGTTGGGGTTTTTTTGTTTTTGTTTTTTTAAATCTACACCTTAAAAAGTGAGAGCTCACTATATACTGGCAGCACTACAGGACACAAAATATTGTCCATTCTCCAACAAACTTACCTTGTACTAGGTGACTGACAAAAATGTACAAGATTTCTGGTTATGAGGCTATTATTAGAATCTTAGAAAGCAGTTGAGAAATAGGTAGTCCTCTTTGATATATCCTTGCAGGTCACCCATGGGATGTTCATTCTGAAGCCTTTTATTTAGTCACATTCCTTCACACTGCATGTCAGAAACCCAGGAGCATATCCAAGACAAAGGAAAGAGCAGTGCAAAGGCCCTGGGTTGGGAGTGCTTATTCCAGACACTGTTGTTTATCTTGTAAGGAATGGTTTTTCAGAACCGTAAGAGGACGGGCCTCCATTTGTCTGTTCAGTCCTGAGGTTGCCATGTGGAAAGCAGAACACAGGGTGTGGCCTTCACCTGGGCAATGTAGGGAGTGGACAGATTCACAGGTTTGGGAAGGACAGACAACATGCCTGACAGGCAGAGAGGAATGCAGGGCTCCCATCATGCTACCACAGCATGCTCAAGCAATCTGTGGGGAAGTCACACAGCCAAGGTCAGGCCTGAAGAAGCTCAGCATCTGAGCTGTAAGGGTTGTGGAAGCATACTGGGCAGTGAGGGGTTACCTGATAACTCACTTTTCTTCCCAAAGCATTTCCTCCCTAGCAAGGCTCTGACTGGTTAGGTTAGGACCTCCATTCACAAAGCGTTAGGGAAAGGGATGCTACCCAAGCGGCATCACTGCCAGCACAAGGGCTTACCAACTCTCCTTTCTTTACTTCAAGTACCATCAAGAGTCTAGACAAGCTGTGATGGGACCCCCGGGTGTGGTGAAAAGGAGACTGGATGACTGGAGGTGCCAAGCAGAGATGGGACTGGTATCGAAAGAATGCAAGTGTGGACTGCTAGGAAAGGACAGGAAAGCATAAGGAAAGAAGCTTCTAGTTCACTGGAAAAGCAACTGCATTCAGCAATGAAATACAGGCATGAAAAAGCTGGAGGAGTTTATGTAAATCAGAGCCTGGAGGTGGGAGAAACTAAAGAGACACCATCACCTGTGCAGGGGGTCCTCGTCTTTCCCACCACCACTGGAAGGGAACAGAATTGTCTCTACCCTTTCCATTCCAACCTTAAAACCTTGCTAAGGCAGGCCTCATTACACACACACACACACACACACACACACACACACACACACACACACACCGGGGATTCTTATCTCCACTACCAAGAACCCACATACATCCCCAGATTAACAGTAGTAGTCCATGCTCTGTCTCCAAAGTACGGGGATTCTTATCTCCACTACCAAGAACCACATACATCCCCAGATTAACAGTAGTAGTCCATGCTCTGTCTCCAAAGTAACCACCATCCAGCTTAGCAAAACCTTCATCCCTTCTCCTTCATCCCTACAGAACTTGGTCCTGGAGGCTTTCCTTGATGCACTCCAGTCCTCAACAGTAGCCAAAGCTCCCATCACATCATCATCAGTTTCTTCCACACTGTGTAACACTAAGGTTACACTATGATAGCCTGAGGTAGTGGTGGTGGTGGTGGGAGCGGGGAGTTTAAGATCTGTACAAGGGCTTTAAATGTAAAATGGTTGCCAGCTTTTTTGTTGTTGTTCTTTTTGAGACAGGCTCTCTCTGTAGCCTCAGCTGGCCTGGAACTCGATATGTAGACCAGGCTGGCCTTGAACTCAGAGATCCGCCTGCCTTTGCCTCCCAAATGCTGGGACTAAAGGCGTGCGCCACCACGCCCAGCTAGTTCCCACCATTTTTAAAAAGTGATCTCATACCTAAAGGCATGCGCCACCACGCCCAGCTAGTTCCCACCATTTTTAAAAAGTGATCTCATACAAACTTCTCGAAGTATGGCTCCTCTTGAAAACTTTAGTCTTCAAACACTACACACATTTTTCATGTTTTATTCAAGTACTTTTATGGTTTCACTTTTTCTAACTGAAATGTATTCTGACATAATAAAGGTTTTTCTTTTCACATGGCTAGCCCACTGGATTTTAGACACAAAAGTTTCAACAAATCCGATTTCTGAATTCCAGTCTTACTGTTACAATCTCAGTCTTCAATAACACAGTGGCTACTTAGAACCAGAAATTTCAGAGTTAGTGGGAAACCAAACTCCTCATTTAGCTTCAGATAGGAAAATGTTAACCAGAACCAAAAGTTTCCCAAGCTAAGGCGCTCCACTACCAGGCCAAACCCTAAGGCTGCTAAGGATAGCGCTGGAGTAGAAACAAGGTCATGCCGGCCAGCAGGACGGCAGCAAAGGGAAGGGTGAGGCCCAAACCTTGGAACTGGTCATCATAATTGCCTTTCACCAGTCTACCAGGGTCAGACTATTCCAGCTAGAAAGCTGGTCTTTGTCCCTTGTCTTATGCTGTAATATGTACCCTTGGCCCATTTCTCATAATAAATGCTGGCCTTAAAAGAGCTTACCCTCTCCTCTCCCAGGACTTCAACATGTTCACACAGATGACTCACATGTCCTCAGCCCTGGTCCCCCAACAACTATGCTCCAAGGCAGAGTTACAGCTGCCGGCATGCAAGTCATTTCTACGTTGATGCCCCACACCCGAAACACATCGTACTCTACAGACTCCCCAACTATTTATTTGCTTTTCTCTCAACACATTACACCAACTTCTCCTTTACCAGCACCATCCCCACCCTAGTTCAATCCTTTACTATCTCTGGCTTAGACGACAATGTTTTAACACCTGCATCCCCTCTCAGCTTCCTCCATCTCTCAACCTCCCCAGGTATCGGGGGGTCAAGTTCTGAGAGGTCCCCCACTGTCTACAGAATAAAGTTCCAACTCTATAAAGTGCCATTCAGTTTCCCAGCCTTCACTCCAACCTTCCCTTACTCCCACCCACCTCCAGGCTGTCCTTGGACATCACTCCATTTCACTTTCTCATGCCGCTCCCTCTATCTGGGAAGCCTCTTAGCTGTGCGTATTCTTCACCAGTTCTGAGCAGCAGCTAGAGGACTCCATTCCACCTCCAGGCTGTCCTTGGACATCACTCCATTTCACTTTCTCATGTCGCTCCCTCTATCTGGGAAGCCTCTTAAGCTGTGCGTATTCTTCACCAGTTCTGAGCAGCAGCTAGAGGACTCCATTCCCAGACTTTAGACCAGCGCTGTCTACTGCACTTCTGGCCACATGTGGCTATTTTACTCCATGAATGGTGGCTGGTCCAAATATATACATGCTCTAAGTGAAGAAATGTTCAGAGTTGAAGGACTTAGTACCAAAAAAGGTATTTTAATTTTCTATACTAATTTCACATGAACATGATGCTTTGAGTATTAAATAAAAATGTGTTGTCTAGATATAATGGGTTTTACTATTTTAAGACAGCTAGCTGCTAAAAAAAAAAAATTACAATTACCTGTATTATTTACAATGCACTACCCAGGCATATAGCTACTCTGTATTATTTACAATACACTACCCAGGCATATAGCTACTCTGTATTGCTATGAGATTTCACTTATGCCTTAACTGAGTCAACAAACAAGATCCTTGATCTTGAGCTTAGTCCAATGGTAAGCCTTCAGTCCAGCTACGGTTTAAGGACATACAGCAAGTCTAGATGATTGCTTAATATTGAGCACATAAAGGCTCAAATATACTAACAGCATCCTCTGCTTCTGTCCTCAGGTCCTCCCAAAGATGACATCACATGTTGTAAATGAGATTGATAACATACTGCGCAACAAGCCCTACGGCAAAAAGGACTACCGATCCTAAGGCAATGCATGAGCCATAGACGCTGCATGGGTAAAATAGTGGTCTGTACACAGTGCAGAACAATGTTTCTAGCCACTCTTTTGAGTCACTTAGCAGCCTACTGCTCAACCTCTAGTGTCCCTGGATTCTGAGGTATCTGCTGTTGCTACCACTGTGCACCTGAATTTCCAGCACATCTGAAAACTCACAACCAAGAAAATCCATTCTATTTTCTTATCTTGGACTCATCCCCTGTCCTTGCATTACTCTGTACACCTCATGCTTCTACACTGGAAAGAATATTGAGGAAAGGATCTCGTCTTCAGGCATTTAGTAACTTGAAGGCTGTACAGATATATTTTTTTCAAAAGAACAAAATTCACAGTATGAAGTATGTAAGAAACAGGACTTCCTCATTCTAAAGTCTTGCTTGGAAGAATACAGAACTAGTTTTACTTGGATTTTTTTCGTGTTTCATATTCACATTAGCAAGTTTTGTGTCACTTGTCATTCAACAGTAAAATTTCTAAGCATTTGCTTTCAGTATCTTTTAAATATTTACTGTTGCTTGGCCCTGTACAATTTATCCAGGATGTTTATTAGGATTCTAATGTGTTCACTGACATGTGGAGGTGATAAATGAATACCCCAATCTTTAACTAGAGATATAATGGCTAATTTATGAAGGGGCTACACTACTACGAAAACAGCTTTGAATAAATGTACTAACAAGTAAGTGTTCTTTTTTTTACACATTTTATGAAGGCCTGTGTATACTTTCAATTGCTTGTGGGCACAATTTCTGTAAGTTTAAATATTTGAGCTTTAAAAATATACACATGTTCAGTTTTGTAATTAAACCTGTAAAATACCCAGAAAGGTAAATGTTCAGTTTAACACCACAACTTTACAATGTAATATTGCTATTTCTGAGGAGTTATCACATGAAAACACAGCAGAGGTGGTGTGAAAAATATTGTCATTCCATAGCATATGCTGGGTGAATTAACTTGCCTACAATAAAGTAAAATGTTCAAAGAGCTCCTGACTCTAATCATATCATATACACGACACTATATGCATGAAAGCTCTCTGCACGGAACAAAGGGACTTAGCCTTCACTCAGAATCCGAGCTACATCCAGCCCTGCCACTATTGGCTACTTACCCTAACTGAAATCCCACTTAAATCATAAGAATACACTGTAGATATCTGTAAATAGGGAGAAAACATGTCATCATCTCCACCCCCCCCCACCACCACCTTTTCCAGTGAGGCCATTTGTAAACTTTATTTGGACATCTGAGGATATATACAGTTTTACTTTATCTAGTCCGAAAGTTCTTCATCACTTTAAGATTTACAGAATAATATCAACTTAAAAAGCTATTTTCTGATATAATTTCCAGATATATATCATATGGTTTAAGTTCTAACTCTTAAAGTATTAGTGGACGATACTAACATATTTCCTTTTGTTTGTTACTATCTATAGTCTAGTAGTCCATTTGGAAGTTTTGCCCATGAGTGTCAGATTAATGATGGAAATGAACTAACTTTCCGGTCCTTCATTGTGAATTTAATCCAGTGAACTACTATATATATAAATGAGCTGAAGTACTGTCTAAAGAAAAATCAATTTAATCTATTTGCTTAGAGTAATAAAATATCTGTGCAATTCCCTAATCGATTTATCTGGTCTTTCATTATAAGGCATAAGATGTATACCTTTTCACATATATAAAGTACAAATAAAATGTCAGCATGAAATGAAAATAATCAGATAAATAAATTATACAGATAACAACATTGAAAGCTTAACAGAATTAACAATCTTTAAAGGCTAAAGCAAGGAGGGGGTAGCAAGTGCCCATAATTCCAGCACTGGGGAGGCTTACACAGAAGTTCAGCCTGACCTCATCTCAACCACCCTTTACCCTTAACCCTGCCCCACCCCACAAAAGGCTAAAATATGCATTGCAAACAAAGCCTTGAGTGGTGACACATCTATAATCCTCATGGGAAACTAAGGCAGAAGGATACTGAGTTTGAGGCAGTCTGGGCTAGACTTATAGCAAGACTGACTCCAAAAAATAAAATCTTGCAATCCAACTCTTTCCTTTCTCATTGAGTCTTAGAACACTATGCACACTAAGGTTAAAGCTTCTCAAACCCACCTGAAAGAATTTGCAACTGTAAATCAAATATAAGCATTATTGGTCAATTGTGGAAGCAGCCAGTTCTTATACATACATACACACATACACACATACACACACACACATGCATGTGCATGCCAAAGTAAATAACAATACATTTCAGTTATATCCTTGTGAAAAATAATTCCATACATTCTCATTTTCTGTTCAGAAATCCTTGGCAGAGAACAAAGGGAACATGGGAGGCAGCCATTATTACACTGGTTTCAGGCCAGACAAACACAAACTACAAATTTTGTGCCGGGTTTCCTAAAGACCTGACACTTCAAGAGCAGAGCATCAAACATCATTCAGGCATATGGCAATGTTTCAAGGAACCTCGGCTGTCTGCAAAGCCATCTCTTTGGCTAATAAGGAATTCAGGTCAGAATAGATCAAAGAATTTGTACAAATGCACTGCTAGCTGATGGATCAGGCCTGCAGCCCACACTTTGTGCTCAGTCCATTGCTCCTTTAAAGATTCTTCGTTTTAGGTTTTAAAGATTTAAGGAGAACTGTAGGAGAATTTGTGAGATTAAAAAAAAAAATCAGATAAACCCACATTTGGAATCAAGATGAAAAAGTCAGATGAGATATAATGGAAACTCATGACAGTCAAGAAGTTAGTCTAGAACTACCACCCTGAAAACAAATCAATCAAAAGGGCCTCCCGGTCTGATGAGATGGCTCAGCCAGTTTGCCTTAAATCCCTGTATCCCACGTAGAGACAGGAGGAGAAAACTAACACCACAAAGTTGTCCTCCGACCTCCACACAGTCACCGCGGCACATGCACCTCCACCACACACACATAATATACACACAAATAATAATAACCTTTTTTTTTTTTTTTTTTTTTTTTAAAAAAAAAAAGGGTGTGGTGGTGCACACTTTTAATCTCAGTACTGGGAAAGGAGAGGCAGCAGAGATCAAGGCCAGCAAAGAAAAAAGACCCTCCCAGACCTGGAGACTTGGTTCAGCAGTTAAAGAGCACTCGCTACTCTTACACAGGACCTGGGTTCAGTTCCCAGCACCTGGTGGCTAACCATTACCCATAACTCCAGTTCAAGAGGATCTAACTCTCTTTTCTGGCCTCAGTAGGCATTGTATGCACAAGTTGCACTTACATACATGCAGACAAAACCCTCATACACAATAAACATAAACACTTTTTCAAAAGACCCTTTTCAGTCTTCAACTATATTAACTGTTTGGGAATCTTAAAAGATAGGAAATAAACCCTTACTGCCCAAATGAATGTTACTGTTCTTTATACACACATATCCTTCCTCTCAGTGTCTCCAGAAACAGCAACGCCTGACAGGCATACTACACAGAAGCAGAGTGAGCAGAAAGGCATGTCAGGCACACACTGGTACCTTATGGCAGGGGCTACCTTCACTCTTTACTATAGCTGTGCTATGCCAGTCAGTATCTCACAGACATTTGGTCAGTAACTACATGTATTTACAACGTAGGACATTAAAAACAATGGTAATATGAAATGCATAATGAAGACATTTATTCATATACTTTTTAAAAAGAACTGCAGAAAAAAAACAATTTTTAAAAATAAAATTTAATCATACTGTTAAGCAAGACTTTCATAAGAATTTTGAGTATAAATTCAACTTCAATTATTTCAATTAACTTGAAATCTTGTTTCAAGTTATCCTTTCCAAGTTACAATAATATACCAAATAGGACAAGTTGTAAATTTGAATCCAAGATTACTATTAAGTTGTATATGAACAAACTAAGAAATGAAAATGTTTAAACTAAGTTTCTACCTATCATAAGTATGAAAAAAAGAAATGTAATCACTTTGAATCTCTTCTCTTACTAATGTTACATATGGTGTCTTTTTAAGAAAAAACCTACCAAAGATTTCTACTGTCTAAGTCTTAGTCAGGGATAATAATTCTAATTGCCACCTTCAATGATGGAGAAAAGGGTCTGCATTTCCTAAGTACTGATACCTTAAATCCTTAATGGAAACTGATGAACTGTGATCCTATGCATAGAAATTTATCTGGCAGTACAGAAAGTTAGAGAACGTTCAGAAGATTAAAAACAAAGACAGGAGACATTCAAGACAGAAAAACAACTGCATGTTCATTTCCCAGTCAATTTCTCACCACCCCTTCTGAGCTCTGCCATGCAGTGCCAGGACCAGTGCTAACTTTCCCCAGTCTACACAGGCACTGCCATCTAGTGGCAAATTTTCAGCCACCACTTAAGTAAAAAGTAGCCCAGCTTTGGTAACAAATAGTAGATACTGGTCTACTAGTTCATGAAGTAAATACATTGGTACACAAAATCTATACCACCAAACTACTGACTCGTTTTTACCAAAAAAAAACAAAATACCACCTGACCTCACATGTGTTTCCTATTATTTGGTAATGGCACTCAAACAATAATGCACCAAAGAAAGGAAACTTATAGAGGCAATGATTAAAAATACAATTCTGAACATGGACAATGATGAACCAGGTCACTGTGCGCATGTGTTCATCCTAACTTCCTTCCAAGTTCTGAAATACAAAATACCAAAACATCCAACAGCAGAGAAACAGCTCAACTCCTGGTGAACACTTCTTTAATATTCATCTTAAATTTATCAGTGGAAACTAAGTATTAGAAATATTTTCCTTTGAAGTACTACTCATAAGAAATTACTGGATGTGGTCAAAAGCTAATAGGAATATGAAATTAAATATTTTTCTAAGTGTAAAGAAGGTTCCTAAACTTTTTGAAGTTTTGGCACATATTGAGGGGTGTGGGAACATGAGACTGCTCTCGGCTGGACCCCTTAAAAGACTAAAGGGATCAGTATTTTGTTTACAATCAATAGGAACCTTGGGCTCAAGGGCCAAATTTTATTAGCGTCCTAATAGAAAAATGCTGACAAGCGTTTTAAACCACAGTCATTCCTTACAGAGTTCTTTGAATTCCAGAGCTAAATTCACAAAAATTATTTGGTCTTTTACATGACAATATTCAGGAAAGGGGTTCTCTTAATATGCTGCCCTAGTGTTGAGATCCTGGTCAAGAAAAACAGTTATTTCAATGACTTCACACATAAAATCAACATGGCAGGGTCAAGCTGACCTCCCTGACTGCCCAAGGCCAAAGCCATACAACTGAACAGTGTGTGCCTTAACTCTGCAGGCCAACTCTCATAGGCCTGGGTACTATTTTTAGGTTACTACCTTGGCTGCCTTTCTTTAAAAAAAAAAAATGTCCACAAGTTTCTCTCCCCCAAGTTGGAGAGGACATGTTTTTAATTTTGAGTTATTGTAAATTGCAAATTCAGAGACTTGTGAGAAAAAAAAAAGAAAAAACCATGAGGCTTCTGTTTAATCCCCTGGGAAGAGGATTCATGGTTCAAAAAAGTTGTAATATTGTGCTTGGAACACAGCACACCAGTTATTAACTTCTTCCTCCTATTATAAATAATGACAGCTCAGTCCAGGTTACTGTGACCTCTGACAGATGTAGGAAACAAGTTATTTTCTCCCCTTGTGATTCTAGCACATTGCAAGACTTCTTGCCTTTTAATAAATGTCCTGGTACTCTGAGTTTCCCTTTCAATCCATTTAATTTCAACAATATGTCAAAAAGAACCAATAAACGAACACTGAGTTACATTCTATTATGTTTTTTAAACCCTCAAACTCCAGACTATAAAAACATCTTGTGTGTCTCCCTCCCTGGCCACCCTGCTACTTTTCCATACACCAAAGGCCACCCATAGATGCAAAGCCCAGGGGCTAAGCTGATGCCATCTACTTGGAGCCAGTAGACAGGAGGGCGATGAGTCCAGAGGAAGCACTTATGGATAAAATGTAATTCCTGTAAGAATTCAGTGTTAAGGAAAAAATAATCCAAAATTAGTTTTCAACAATAAAAGAGCTTATCCCTACTGACATAGCACTAATTACAAAGACGTGTGTGTAGCCTCACTGCTTACCAGATAGGGAGGCTACGAGGTATGAAAAAAATGTTCAAAAACAATGTCTTCCAATATTGAAAAACCACTTAGGGCACACCTAGAACAAATGATCATAAAGAACATACCTTAGTTCCATTTAACCCTCATGAGAAGAGCTAAAGAACGTTCAGAGAGAGAGAGAGAGAGAGAGAGACAGACAGACAGACAGACAGACACACACACACACACACACCCCAGTAGAGGAGGAAAAAAAAACCTCATGTCAATCAAGAGTTCTGCTACGGTTGGCTTGAGGACAAAGAGGTTCTGAAAGTTCACAGCTATTTACAGCCTCTTTGAGCAACTCGGTTTTGGGGCCACTGGCAAAAGTATTCCCATAAGATACAAGTAGGAGGGTGTTTGATAGTTTATTGCATTGTAATCTTTGATGTTAAAAAGTCTGGCTGCATTTTCCTGGATAACACCTTAAGTAAATTACTTTAATAAAAGACAAATGACTCTTGGCCAAAAGTTCAATTTAAAAGCAGCTTAAACAGTATGAAGATATTATGAACTGTCCCTTTTTGAACTACACTGGCCATCCACCCAACCCCAAAACCCAACATATGAGCTTATGTCAAAAGCTATTGAAGACAGCACATTTACTCTGACTTTACTCCCTGGAAGTCAAGTAGGTAGGTAGACATAGTCACACAATACAAGACTGCTTCTTAATACTTGTTATTCATCATAAAATCAAAATTTGTAGACTTAAAAAGCACTAAGACAAGCCAGAAACTTTTAGGTTTAAATCTGAAGAACACAGATACTTGCCTAAGGTTAGTGCTATGAACAGATTAACTCTGAGCAGATTTCCTTTCTTATGTACCCAGACAGCTCAAAGCTAAAACTAGACAGCTCAAAGCTAAAACTACTGTTCAGAGGCTTCTGAAAAGGCTAACCAACTTTTTACAGGATACACTGTGGGGTTGAAGTTCTTCAGTATAAAGAAGGAAGCAACAATGACCAAGACCAGGAACAGAGTGTTGTTATAGAAGATGGAAAATGTTGTGGCTTCATAATCAGCAACTTCATTCTTCTTCCACAAGATTCTAGAGACACAAAGACAAGTCAAACAAGTTTGTAAACATGATCAAACACTTTAAATACCAAATGGTTCTCATTTATATTACAAGACAAATTTTTCCTTGTGTTCGAGGATGAGAACGAATTTTCAGTATTTAATTTAGTCTGAATTATCTCCTTTCTTCCACTGTTGATCTCCTTATTGATGCTGAACAGTTGCTGGGTATATTGCCATTTTCCCAGCCAGCCAAGATTACATAAGAAGGAACTGATCTTAACTGAAATTGGCTTGCTTTCTTAAGCACCTAAAACAGGCATCTTTGTTTAAGAGTCCCAGGCAAAGGCATATCCAACCTGAGGCCTATGGACCAGTCATATGCACCCCGGGATCACTATGGATGCAGCCTAATACATTTGTAGATAATGTCATACCACAATGTCCAGAGGTTAGATATGCTTAGTTAGGTCTACAATTAAAACTTGGTCTCAATGGTCAGTATGAAATTGATTTAATTAGCTTCTCTGGCTACCGCCTAGCTTAAGGCTCTCTGCAGCCCGTGGACTTCAGCCTTCACATCTTCAGGAGATAATGCCAAGAACTAAAAGCAGCTGTGGTCTTACAGAGACTATCTTTCACTATCTTTACTGAATATGAGCATTATCCTTAGGAAGGTGTATTTAACTGTAAAACTTTTACTTTTTATTGTTTTCATTTGCTCTCATACTGATCAGCCTTTTACCCCTTCAAACTGTCCAAGAGGATGTTTCAAGATACTTCTGATTAAGACAGATTTTATTCTTCTTAGCTAATTAACTTTGCAAAACAGTGTTTTAAAGTGTAAATTGTGACTCATTAGTGGAATGCGAAATAAAATGAAAGGATAAATGCCCAGAGAAATTAACAAAGTGTACTGAAACTAGTTTTTTTGTGTTTTTTTTTCTTTTAATGCAACAGAAAAGGCATTAAGAACCCACCACACAGTATAGGTAATTACTGTTTTGTGAAACGCTTGTATATATAAATTAATGTAGTTGGTTAAAAAGTAAAACACTGTTTTACTGAGGAGCCATTATCAAAAAGATTAAAAGCCACAGCTGGAAAAATGGCTTAGGGGGAGACCAGGTACTGCTCTTGCAGAGAAGACCCCAAATTCAGCTCCTAGCACCCACATCAGGCAGCTTACAATCACTTTTAACTTGAGTTCCAGAGGATCTATGGGTACCTGCACTCACATGCATATACCCACAAACAACTAGACAGATATACATAGAATTAAAAATAACTTTTAAAAAGTCACAGCTGTAGATGCTTTGTCTCCCAAAAAACATACCCTTCTCTGGATCCAGACGACATATACCCCTCCCACTTGTCATCAGAAGGACTAGTAACTGACCCTTTTATTTATCATGTGCTCTAATCCAAAGTCAACAAGCTTGGCTATAAAGAGCTAATGAAGGGCATCTTCATTGTAAGAAATCTGTAGTCTTTAGCACATATGCTGAATTTCCTTGATTTTACAGACACCATCAACTCAAATTTTCCATTTACTCTACATTGAGAAACAGGAAGGATATCAAGTACAGCTATCAACTACAAAAAAAACCTACTGATTTCAAAGAAGATTAAATGTAAATCTAAAAATACATGTGACTTAAAACTGAAGAAAACACATATCACCATTCTTACATAGATTAAAGACAATCAAGGATGGAAAGAGACATAGTCTTTATATAGCTGAATGCTAGAAAACTCAGAAATCACTGCATCTATTTTTAACCCCGGCATAAGATTCAACAAAGACATGTTCCTTAAGTAAGCAACTGGCGTGCCTTTACTCTGCAGATTAAATTACCCTACAGTCATCTTAGCACGTCTCCCTAACTCTGTCCTGTCCTGTCCTGAATCAGTCAGTATCATCTCCAAAAGAATTTTGATGAAACTCTGAAGCCCAATCCACCAAGCAACTTTAGCTCCCATATACTCTCACATAACCTGGGGGTATACAAGTCAGGACTGTTTATCTCTTCACATTTTTGTTCCTCCCACATACTGGTTATTCTGAAAAATGTTAAACCCCTAAATACACTCAGAGCCAATGGTTCTACCATAGTTTTACGGGTAGAAAATCTAACTTAGGAGAATATTTCCCATGGAATCATTCCTCCAGGGACAGCTTCCTAAAGAAGAGAAAACATGGGACCAACTGCTACAATCAGGTAACACTAAACAACAGATCGTCAGCAAATCAAGAGGTAACAGTCACACTTGAGAACACATGCTGAATCTCTTAACTCACCTTTAGCTTATCTCCATCCTTGAAAGAATGGATAAAGTCCTTTCAAAGTGGCATGGCACATATATCCCACATACCTGCAACTAAAATTCCGAGGATGCATACACAGGCCACAGGTGGAGATACCTCTTCTTAGATCAAATCTCCTGGAAGCAACTTATCCTCTGAGAGCAACTTACCAAACCTTAATGATTCTCTGGTCTATCATCTGGGTCAATCACAAGTCTAGACCTGGGTAAAACTATACCCGCCATTCTTTTTCTGAGGGAAATACTACTAGCACAAATTTCCACTGGTGACAAGAGAAATGTTATAATCTGTATTTACACAACCATGAAACCTCTACCTCACATCTCACCCAACTTTGAGATACCTAATTCAAAGGGCAAAGAGGCTTCATCCCCAGTTCCAACTCTGATTCACTAGTAATGTCTACCTGAAATGCCTACCTGAACACTGAAAGATTGAGACAAGTCCTGGAACCAAGAACAAATACCAGACTGAACCAGGCAAACCTGCAGTGGGCAGATAGGACCCGCTTGCCATCTCTGATATAACTACCAGCCCCAAAACTTTAATAGCTATAACAAGTATTTTGAAATTTGGTTAACTATGTGGTATGTACCCCCGTTTAAGAAATACTGTTTCAAACAATGTAATTCAACCAAAGAGGTTTTAGTGAGACATATTCTCTACCTTCTACTCCTATACAAAATGACGCAACCAGAAAGCTATGCACCCAACTCTCATTACAGCTGCTCCCTACAAAAAGGCCTTCATCGTCATGACTTTATATCCTGTCCTCAGTTTTGTAAAGAATCCAGAAGAGATAATCATTTCATTAATGTCTGGTGTCTTTCCAAACCACTGTAGAAGATACTGTTCATTAAGTTACTCGGTGTCCCTTAAATAAGGATCGACTTGATAAAGTCCTTCCAAGAGTCAGTGCCAGGAAGGCTTCTTTTCTGAAGGGTTTGCATGCTGCTTCTCATCAGACAGTGAAAACAGAATGACCTCATATGCTTCCCCAAACACTTGGGAACTCAAAAGTAACTTCAATGCTCAAATTAGCTAACTAAATTCAAAGTCTTTGTTTCAACACCTTTTCTTCCTTTTAGTTTCTGATCTTACAAAAAAATTATATTACTTTACAAGGCCCCACAAAATCTTTCTGAAGCAAAATGTAATAAAAATTCTGTCCCACAAAGCACCTTACTGGTACTAAAATGTAAGATCCACGTAAACAACCAAACTATTAAACCATCTGGCAACTATTATGTACCAATTACTCAATCATTCAGGGACTTGGGCAATTCAACTCAATTGTTGGGCTGTTTAAGAAGTCTTCTAAGAGCAGCTGGCAGAAAAAAACAGGGAGGGAGGGTTAACAAACATGCCATACAATCCAGCAACAGAAGACAAACACAATTCTTTTATTTTTCAATCAATACCTCCAGTTTTCATATAAGAACCAGATACCCTAGGGAAACTCAGGATCAGAACTACTGCCACCTAGAGCCATTAACACATGACACCTTGTAAACCTTACATACTGAGAAGGGTTGGATGACAGACCCAAGGGTACACAAATACCAACAAGCAGAGACAGCACAGAAAAGAAGCCCTGTTGCTTCCTAAACTACAGTAGAGCAGTCACTAGTACAAGCTCTCAAGTCAGACGGCCTAAATTATCAAACCTCTACTATGTACTAATTGGCCATTACTCAAGCTTTCTGGACCTTAGATTCCTCAGGTGTAAAATGGAGGTAACAATAGCACTGACTTCATTCTTTAGAAAAACAAATCAACTGCATATAACTCAAAGAAAACTATTTGGTGGTAATAAAAACTCAAAAAGTCAGCTATTGCTAGTAGCATTGCTACTACTTATACAACTACAAAATTTATCTACAATTGCAACATTTACATTCTTAATTTTATTTATTATTTTTACTTTATATGTATGCGTGTATTGACTGCATGTAGGTAAGTGCACCCATGTCGTGCAATGCCAGAGGAGGTTAGAAGATGCTGTCGGATCCCCTGGGACTGGAGTTATGGGCAGTTGTTAGTTGCCATATGAGTGCTGGGATTGGAATCTGGGTCTTCTTGAAAAACAACCAGTGTTCTTAACTGCTGAGACATCTCTCCAGCCCCCATTTACATTCTTTAATAAGAAATCAAAAACTTATTTCTCACAAAGTTTACAACTAACCCTTTAAATAAGAAGTCAAGGGGGCTGGAGAGATGGATTGGCAATTAGGTCTTTGCTGAGCAAGCATGAGAAGCATAGTTCAGAACCTAGCAACAAGTAAAAGCTGGGCATGCCTTCATGCACCCTTATAACCCGGCACTCAGGATGGAGGGAGGAGGACTGCAAACAGGACAACCACTGGGGCTTGCTAGTCACCAGTCTTGGCAAAACCCACAAACTCCAGTCTCAGTGAAAGACTGGGCCTCAACAGAACTATGCAGAGTGTGACAGATGAGGATGATCGACACCCTCTTTGGGCCTCCAATACTTACACACACGCATACGTGCACACGCACCACTTATACCTCATATACACACACATAAAGGAGTCAAACCTTTCGTCTTTCTCCTTCCGAGACATCTTTCTATTATCAGCTTCGGAAAGTTTCCGAGTCACTTCTTTGGAAACAGCATCCTCCCTCTTCTGTGCTACTCTGGAAGAAAAGACAACAAGAAGAAAGTTTCCACATGCTCTAGGGGTGAACATCATTCTACCAAAAACACTTTGTACTCATATTTTGTATTGGCAACTAAATGATACTTTACATTTCAAGAAAGCGAACCGAACAGAAAGTTCCAAGTTTATTAAACTGTATAAGCCAAAGGGAAGGAGTTCAAGAACCTCTCAAGATGTGGTTTATTAGTTATGTGCTTTGATTTCTGCTTAAAAGGGAAAATTTCCCAAAGCTTAGGTATTTAACATGGGTATAAAAGTCAAATACTATAGCCGGGTGTGGTGGTGCACGCCTGTAGTCTCAGCACTTGGGAGGCAGAGGCAGGTGGATCTCTGTGAGTTCAAGGCCAGCCTGGTCTACATAGTGAGTTCCAGTCCATCTGGGGCTACAGAGAAACCCTGTCTCAAAAAGACCCCCCAAAAAAAAGTCAAATACTATTAGTACAATTTAATTTTGAATCATTATAACTACATTTTACTTTCACAAAGTTCTTAAAGCTGATGCCCTACAAATGACACATGATTTCAATTCCAAGTAAATTACAGGATAAACAATTGACCTAATAAACAAAGGGAAATAACCATAATGTCTTAAAGTTATGCTTTTAACTCCATTTCAAAGGACAATTTCATTTAAAAGAAATAATACAACATGGTCAGGGGCTGATCATACCACTTAATTTAACCCTTAGTTAAATTAACCACTGGTTTGAGGCCTACACCAAAAGTTAACATTAAGTCAAGCAGAAATGATCTGATGAGTTACTCAAGAACTCTGATCAGAATCTTCAGTGCTGAGTTAGATGAGGGAAAACAGTGCAATGCATTCTCTTCAGCTGAGTGTGTTGGCACATGCCTCTAATCCCAGTACGCGGGAAGAGGTAGCAAGAGGAGCAGAATTCAAGGCCAGCCTTGGCTATATGACACTCTGCTCAAAAAAGCAAAATCAAAAAAACTAATAATAATAAAAAAATCTACAGATGGGGTTGTTGGGAAGAGGTATAGGGGCTGGAGAGATGGCTCAGCAGTTAAGAGCACTGGATGCTCTTGCGGAGGGCCCAGGTTTGGTGTACAGCAGCTGATAACTATTCATAACTACAGTTCCAAGGGAATTTAATGCCCTCTTCTAATCTCCATAGGCATTGTACAACATGGCTGCACTTACGACAATACACTCATACACATAAAAAAATAAAAATAGTAAAATATTTCTTTAAAAGAATGAATAAAAACCCACCCACAAACCAAGACATTTAAATTCAATATAGTATATTTTTCACGATGGAAGAACAACCACTTGGCCACAAATACAGAAGAAAAAGCAGTAAAGATAGCAAACTTCTAAAAACTACCTCCCAGTCCCAATGGTACTCCCACTATAAAAACAGTCACATACTATTCCAACAGGACAGAAAACCGGAGCTAGAAACCTATTCTCTGTGTTCAAACTGTCTACCTCACATTACTATGCCATATTTAGTTCTGGCCAGTACAGCAAGGGAAACTGTAGAAATCAAGAAATCACTAGGGCAGGGAGTTTCTATCTCCCTTCAGCCACAAAAGCTTTGGGAACCTCAGATTTTTCCTGTGTCTCCGTCTCCAGCTTTTACACAAGAACTGAGTGGGAACTGAGATTGCTAAAAAGAAAACTACTGGTCAATTTCAACGAATATACTGTTTAAAAGGCTACAAAGTTAATTTTTAACCTTGTGACCCCAAAAAATTGGTAACTAGAGGTAAAACTAAGAAAAATAGATGAGTTAAAGGGACAGACACTTAGGACCCTCCAAGGTCCTTTCTTATTCCAAAGACACCTCATTTGACTAACTTTATTAGTAAAAATTGCCCTTGCAGATGCTTCTTTCATTCCCAGGAACTCTTCTATCACTCTCTAGAAGATCAGGCACAATTCCCTGAACTTAATTTAACATCAAGCACCTTTTGTCTATAGAAATTCTGCCAAAAAGAGATGGCCATGGCTTACAACAAAGCTGTCAGCAGAACACACACACACACACACACACACACTCTCTCTCTCTCTCTCTCTCTCTCTCTCTCTCTCTCAGTGCTCAGAAATAAAGATTCTTCAGAAAAGTTTTTCTAAGCATCTTTAAGACAAATTCACTGGACTATTAGGACAAATCTACCTGAAAGACCCTAAACGACATTACTCAGTAATTACTCCTCTAGGTCTAGAATTCTATTATTTACCAAGTGGCGGCACAACCACCTCATTCAGGTTTACTGTACCTCAAAGAAGCCATCTCTGGTGTCTTAAGTCTCTAAGGTAGCAAATCTCACTCTGTCTGCTTTAAAGTAAGATAGGTCACTTAGTAGCCAGTACTCTATCAACTGAGTCAGCTCACAAAAATTACCTTTTCTTCTGCTTTTTTATCAATATATCAGAACCTTTCAGGAAAAGTATGTATTTAATTTCCTAAAACAAAACATCTTTGAAAGCACTGTTTAAAACATTCCTCTTTAAAAAGACTTCCTAAAGGTGTTCACCCCCATCATCAAACTAAAACAAGTATCATGTGCTGGATGCTATGCCTAAAATGGCTTACATATGATCCTATTTCATCCTCCTCTGCCCTCTTACTGTTAGAATCCCTATTTTACAGCTAAAGAATCTGAAGTCTACACGGGAAAAACATACAGCCAGGACCATATATTTAAGAGCAGGAAATGGCAGTTGATTCTGAAGCGCTCTTCCTCTACCCCCATACCTACTAATACTCACCATCCAGGGTCTATATGCCTTACTCACAGAAACCTACAGTTGTTTTTTTAAAGATTTGTGTGCGCATGCATCTGTGAAGGTAAGACTTTTGGGAATCAATTCTCTCCTTCCACCAAGGGTTCTGGGGACTGAACTCAGGTCTCAGCTTGCATGGCAAGTGTTTCACCCATTACACTATCTCACAAGACCTAGATCTGTAGTTTCGAGGTCAGAAATAATACTTATACCAAAACAATGACTAAATAGAAAATTCTACTGTGAGTCTAAGTCAGCAAGTCACTGAACTTTTACTAAACTAAAATGTACTATTAACTGTTTTCTATAAGAAATACAAAGCAAAAGACATAGCAGTTCCCCTCAAGTAGCCTAGAGAAGCAGTAAGGTAAAGTCAAGTCCAAAGAAGTGAATAAAAACTGGGACATAAAGCAAGTTAACTGCTAAATACCAAAGAGACTGAGTTCCAAAGGGACTAGGACAAGTTAGGCAAGATCCTACTTCTGGACGGATTCCCTACCCACAAACAGCAAGAACATTTAGAAGAGCAAAGGCTGAAATGGGCTGAATCCTGAAAAGGAGGCTGTCACGCAGGTTGTCATCAGAAAGATGATAAGGATGACTTGATTAGTCAGTCTGCTGGTCTAAGAGAACTGAAGCTATGAAACCTGAGCACTTCGTATCCAGAATAACAAGAAAGACGCTGCTGAGGTCATTTCTCACAGTAATAGTCTGTTAACTGAAATCACAACGCTATTCCTTGGCACCTGAAGGAGCCTAATGTAAGGATAGCAAAGCAATAGTCAGGATTTCTCTGGAAAGGTTTCCTGGGTCTTGAAATAAGAGACCAAGAATAGAAGAGGGTCCTAAATGGGAGAGGGCATAAGTCACACCCAAAGGATGACATGAAGGCTGAGTCTAATTCTGAAGGCCAACTTCTAAAAGGTTAGGCTAGAGTCACAGGAGGGAGGCAGATGACATCAACTCCAGAAGCCTTCAAGGATTGGACTTTACTGCATTACAAAAAGAAAACCATAGTGAAAACACAGTTAACATAATAAAAAAGATTTGAGGACTGTATCACTGCTCAGCCTTCTGGCTAACATCATGTGTAACTGTATCCCATGAAATATAAGAATGACAGAGTAACATGCTTTATCCAGAGCATGGCAGAGTGGGCCCTAATTTTTTATTTTAAGAAACCAGATGGAGAATGATACAGCAATCTTGGCAAAAATAGGTTCCAATCAAGTGTGGACACTAGGGAATGGAAAGAAAAGTATATACACAGCATGCTAACACTGTCAAGTCTCACCAAAATCCCAACTGCCTTTAAGAAATTACTTCAGTTAGGCATAGTGGCACATGCCTTAAATGCCAGTCTGATGTACATAATGAGTTCCAGGCCAGGTGGAGAGGGAAGGAGGGGAGGGAGGGGGAGAAGGGGGGGTAAAGAAAAGGAAAGATTATTTCAGGGGCTAGAAAGATGGCTCAGGATTAAGAGCACATGACTCTAGCAGAGGACCTGAGTTCAGTTCCCAACATCCACATAAGGCAGCCCACAACTGCCTATAACTCCAGCTTCAAGGGATCTAACATCCTCTTCTGACCTCTTCAGGTACCCAAGCTCCATATGCACATATTTACATAGAGGTATGGACACATACACATAATCAAAAAGTAGAAAATAAATCACTTTTTAAAAATTATCAGGGCTGGAGAGATGTGGTTAAGAGCACTGACTGTTCTCACAAAGGACCTGGGTTCGATTCCCTGCACCCACATGGAACTCCAGTTCCAGAGAATCCAATGCCCTCTTTTGACCTCTATGGGCACTGCAGACACATAGCAGCTAACAACTGTCCTTAATTCCAGTTTCACAGGATCTGACACCTTCTTCTGTGGGCATTGCACAACATAGATGCACTTACATCCATGCAGGCAATGCACTCATACACATAATAAAAATAATGAAGTATTTTTAAAAAAAAAACTAGTGCTTTACAATTTAAGTTCAAATTTCATACTCAAAACCTACTTTCATTGAAACTTTGATGGGTTATCAATTCTTCCTGGCACCAGTGTGCCTTCTCCCCATAATATATACACGTTTCAAACTAATGCGTCGTAAAATTAACATGTATAAATCATCTTATGAAGACATTCTACACTGGGCTTGGTGGTACATGCCTTTAATCCCAACACTTGGGAGGCAGAGGCAGGTAGATCTCAGTGAGTTCAAGTCCAGCCCAGGGTGACATAGTGAGACCCTGTCTCCAAAAAACAAAAAAACAAAAACAAAAATGACATGCTACTACTTTTAAAATGCAGTATAGATCAGAGGTACTCTTGAAAAAAATATACTTACTTGTGTTTGAGGACAAACTTCACATTCTTGTAAGCAAAGGCTACCAAGTAAGTGCTTACTAAGGTCATCACACTATAGAGAACAGCCGATTGAAGAAGATCCATATGCCATATTCGCCAATATAACCCTGAATTAAGACAAAAGGATGGCAAGGGTCAAAAAAAAACAAAACATGACTTCCCGTTACACAAGTCTGCCACATAAATTATAGCTAAGCCTGGTAAAACAGAGCAGATTTAGTCTCAATTTGGCACCTTAGGAGTTCAGAACACTGGGTCTACTATTGGTCTAGATGAAATTTCTGTGTCTTCTAACATGAGACCAGACTCCAAAGACCACAGTGAGGACTTCAAAATTCATTCATGGGGTACTATTATGCTAAAAATGTACAGGCCATTCTAAACCTCAACCCGCAGTCCCAAAGCATTACCTCCCTGGCTGACGTGGTTGTTCTCTGAAATCAAAGCAATGCTTAGTAGACAGTGCAACAGGCAGGCTCAGTACACTAACTGCCAAAAAGGAGAACGCGTTTGGATGTACTGCAACAGTGCATCAGTACGGGCCAGGAGATTCAAACTCGGGGAATCTGAGCTCTAAAAACGGCCTTGGCCTGCCCGGGTCTGCAATTTCCCACCCAAATGAGAAGTCAAGAATTGCTCTCGCAGGATTATAAAAATCCTAAACAACGCTGATCGCTGACCTCTGCCCCTGGCCTAGCCTCTCTCTCTCATTCTGCAAATCTGGAAAAGGATGCTCCGGGGTGCAGGGCGGTTCCCCTAGGGTCACACTGCTACTCCAATGCGGGACACGAGTGGGTCTCTCACGCAGGTCATTAAAGACCGCCTCACTGCAAACCACAGTAGTTTGGGAAAGGACTGCGAAGAGCCGTTGCAGGGTGCGACGCGGACCAGCGAGCAGTTCACAACCGCCTCGGTGACCTCCGGGGCCGCCGCCCGCCACAGGCCCCCGCAGGTACCCGCGTTCCCCGGGCCCGCCACGTCCCCGGCCCGCTGCAGCCTTCCCGCCGCCCGCCCGGAGCTCACAGATGGGGATGGCAGACACGATGAATGCGTTCCCGAAGAACAGCGCCGACGACTTGGCCGACAGGTTGCGGCTGAAATCCTGCAGGAGCAGGTCCTCCTCCGACTGCTGCTTCGAGCCGCCTTTGGGCGCCATGGCGGAGCTGGGCCGAGAGCCGGGAGAGCCGGGAAGGCCACGCCGGCGAAGCTCTCTAGCCGGCCGCCTATCCGCCCGCGACCCGTCAGCGCTGCGCGGAGGCGGGACCCCGCGGGGCAGGATTGGTCAGCCTGGGGCCATCACGCAGGCCTCGCTATGTGATTGGGCACGAGAGGAGCACTTCCGCAGTTCTCGCTAGCCACGTGACTTTTCTACGCCAAAGAGAATGACGGGATTTGTAGTTAATGTGTAGTCTTTTTTTTTTTTTTTTTTTTTTTTTTTTTTTTTTTTTTTTTTTTTTATTCTGATTTTTCTTTTTTCAGAGTCTATAGCCCAGCTTGGCCACGACCTCGCCTTCCTCAGTCTCAGTGCTGGAGTGATGCTTTCTGGCGCCAGAATCTCTATTTCTTTTTAAATGCAGTAAAGGGCTCGGTTTACTGCGTGAGCCACCACACCAAATATACTGTTTTTTATTTAACAAACTTTATTGATACTCCGTTTCATACGTGCCCTCTTTTAACTTAAAATTTACTAATATCCCACTTAACAACTCCTGAAATTCTCTCATTCTAAGCCTTCAGAAACTCCAACGCCAGAATCTCTATTTCTTTTTAAATGCAGTAAAGGGCTCGGTTTACTGCGTGAGCCACCACACCAAATATACTGTTTTTTATTTAACAAACTTTATTGATACTCCGTTTCATACGTGCCCTCTTTTAACTTAAAATTTACTAATATCCCACTTAACAACTCCTGAAATTCTCTCATTCTAAGCCTTCAGAAACTCCAAAGTAAAAAGCTCTTCTGGCCGCATGTCATACAATCATCATTAATTCAAAGAGCATGTGAACATTGGTGAACATTGGTGGAAAAAGACAAAGGTATAGTTAACACCTGTACACAGCCATTATTTCATTATCAGGTAGTCCAGGCTGGCCATGAACTCACTATGTAGCTGAGAATGACCTTGAACTTATCTTTCTGCCTCTGAGGGCCTCAGTGCCCCATATGCCTGGTTTTATAACAGGTGTCCCAGATGGAACCCAGGGTTTCCTGCATGCGATCAACTGAGCTGTATTCCCAGCACCTCATCACCTACCCGATTGTGTTTGTTTGCTTACTTGCTTTATTTTGGTTTTTTGAGACGGTGAGCACTGACTAGCCAGGAACTCCCTAAGTAGATCAAGCTGGCCTTGAACTCAGAGATCTGCCTGCCTCTGCTTCCTGAGTGCTGGATTTTAAAGGCGTTCACTACCACACCCAGCTAATCACATACTCTTGAGAAGCCTTAGAAATGCACATCATTGTGCCCACTGCAGATGGAAAACTTATGGGTGAGAAACAAGCTCTAGTCTCCTGAACCTGAGCTCTTTTCACCTAGGTAACAGGCACCGGGATCTCATTATCATGAATTCTTCACAATGAAGGAAAGACCTTAAAATGAAGAAAATACATGTCTCATGCCTTTACAAATTACTACACATTGTATTACTTTTATTTCAACTTAAGACTTTAGAATACTGTGGCTTCAAAAGACATTCTAAATAAAACTAAAGACAACCATTGGTGAGGCAAGACTCCTCTGAAGCTCAGAAAGATTTACTATATTAAGACAGGTGGCATTTTGAACTGATCACATTGTCACTTTTTAAATTTAATTTATGAGTGTTTTACCTGCATATATCTAAGTGCAGCGCATGTGTGCAATGCCCATGGAAGCCAGAAGAGGGCATCAGATCCTCTGGAATTTGAGTTATAGATTATTGTTAGCCACCTTGTAGATGCTGAGAACCAAACCAGGGTTCTTCTGCAGGAGCAGCCCCAGTGCTCCTAACAGCTGAGCCATCTCTCCAGCCCATCTCAGTTTTTCTTTTAAAAAGGATACACTGCCCACTACTTTCCAGGCAATGCTTCTCTACATTACAGTGAACACTCCAGTGCATCCTACAAAATGCCTTCAGCCTCCAGCATCCCTCTCAACAGAACTGTAGATATCTGTCTCCTTTTGCTTTATCCAAATTGTAATTGACATGCAGAACCACCATCCTAATTGAGCTTTTTGTTTTCAACCTTTTTCAATCTATTCACCACACAGTTGCTGGAATGAGCTTTCCTGAAATGCAAATCTTCCCATTATCTATAGCGAGCATTCCCCCAATGGAAAAAGTTTTCACCAATTCAACACAAAAGGAAAAAAAAAAAAAAGAGCATCTAACATATTTTTCAGCAAACTGCAAGTAATCACTGAAATATCTGGGTCCTTTTTTGATGCTATATAGCACTCTCATTACCTGATAGAAGAAACTTATTTTTCTGCATTCTTCTCTCCCTGCCTTTTTCCTCACATCCATTTTCATTCCTTTGCTCTCATTAAAACGCTAGGTTTCAATAAGAATCCTTCCCCCGCCTTCTTTATCTATAGCCAACTCATAAACAGAAGTTTGGGCCTCTCTCTATATATAAGTGGATTTCAAAAACAAACAAACAAAATAAAAAAGAATATGAAAGATAAAAAACAGAAAACTATGAGATCAAAAGAGACAAATCCAAATACTTTAAAATAAGAAGAAAATCAGAAGCAATAAGGTTAAAGTTAAAAACAATCATACCTGAGAAAAATATCTTCACAATTAAAATAGAAAAGTTTTTTAAATGTTAACTAATTGATAATTAAACTGATAAAAAAAAAAAGAGCTAGCTGAGAAAAATTAACATGCTATAAAACTGAAAAGAATAAATACAAAGGGCTGGGGATGTAGCTCAGTGGTAGAGTCATGTACGGGGCCTTGGGTTCAATTTCCAGCCCTGGGGTGGGGTGGAGGAATAATATATGCACAAGTAAATCTAAAATGGTAGGGAGTTTTCATTTTTTACAGGAGTAAATCTAAGAAATATGATAGGCAATGATGCTAACAGCAGAGATGGCTTCTTTGATGGTGCTGAAAGTGAAGATGATGGAGGCAGCTCACTTTCATTTGAGGTCCTGGCATGTTGCTCTCTGGTGCCAGGGTCTAAGGACCTGGCATATAGTCATTGGTGCAATGGACAAGCTTGATAAGCCACGTGCTAAAGAGACCAATAGATCCTATCCAAACAAAGCTCTGATAGCGACTTTGTTCACTTCAGTCAAACTCCATTTTCAAGAAGGAACCAAACAGATTTAATGCTATACCAGCCTGGTTCTATTCTGGGAATTTCAAATTTCACATTTCTCTTCCATCACTTCACACTTAGAAGATTAGTGAAACATTTTAAGCAATGATACTGGTTCCTGTCAGGGATAAGGATAATAGATTTTGCTCATCCATTACCGATGAATTTGGGGAAGAAATTCTGGCCAGTTAATAAGTAATACACTTTTCTAAGGCAGACACATTGCAAGTTGCCTAGCCACTAAAGAAACCCAGTGCTAGCTTTTCACTGGAATCTTTGAAAAATAACAAAGGAATCATTTAGGGCTACTCTGGAGAGGAGAAAAAAAATGCTCTTCTGTTTAAAGCCCATTTGAAATGCAAATATCATTATGAAAATAACTTTGAAAGAAGAGATGGGATACTTACATTAGTTTTGAGTGTTTTCAGTTATCACCTGGGAAATTATTTACTTAGTCAAACTACATTTTTCAAGTACTGGTATATGATTAATTCATTAGTTAATATATTCATTCAGAAAATATTAATTGGGAAACTACTAGATGGAAAGTCTATTCCAGACCCTGTAAGTAACCAAGTAACAGCCATATTATGACGATTACAATGACCAACATTTATTGAGTCCTTGTTAAATGTCCAACTCTGTGTTAGTTCCTTCACATGTGTGGTCATTTAATCTTTACAGTAGCCCTATGATTTCTGTGTTCTTATCCACATTTACCAAAGAAACAGGGCATAGATTGGTAGAATAACTTGCCCAAGATCCCACAGCTGGTAACTGATGTAGTCAAGTTACAAAACCAGGAAACATGACTCCAGGATACATATTGTTGACCATGGATGGATTCCACCCTCTTTTATAACAAAGGGGTCTCAGATTCCAAATATCTACCCCAGGAGGCAAGTTTTGAGCCAGCAGCCACAGGCAGTTAGTTTCTTGTGCCCCACTGCAACTCTGGCCAATGCACCCTTAGACAGGGAGAATTCTGTGATCTGCCCACAGGCAAGCACAGGTGAGTGGGCCTGGGCTCACCATACTGAATTCTCTGTCTCAGGAGTTTGAAAGCAAAACACCAGAAAGAGACAGTTCAGAGAGATATACAGAAACAGTAAAGCAAACTAAGAATGAATACAAAATAAAAGCCAGAACTCACTCCCCATGGCCATAAATTAGAAGAGAAGAGATTGGAAGGAATCTAAAAAAACCCCTCAGGTTTGCCTCATCTCTCTGTAAGCCTGAGAGAGACCATTGTCACCTGCAATGAAGCAAAACACTCATCTCAAAAATGAAAAGAAATTGGATTGAAAAAAACATCAGAATAAGCAATAGGATCAGATTCTACACACAAACAAATATATATATTCAATACAGTTTTTCAGATTATATGTTGCCTCCCTGAAAATAAGGTAACATGGGGACTAGAGAGGCTGGAGAGATGGCTCAGTGGTTCAGAGCACTGACTGCTCTTGCAGAGGACCTGGGTTTGATTCCCAGCACCGACATAGCAGCTAACAACCACTCATAGCTCCAGTTCCAGGGGCTCTTCTGACCTCTACAGGTCCTGCATGGCATGGGTACACTTACACACACACACACACACACACACACACACACACACACACACAGAGGCAATGCATTCATACACATTTAATAAAAATAATAAAAAGTTTAAAAACAACAAAGTAACATGATCAAGTTTCTACAGGATCTAGACACACAACCTCAGGGAGGTAATTGTGGCACGTACGGATAGGAAGAGGTGGGGTCCTCAGTGCAACCAGAAAGCTTGCCCTTTAAAAAGGCCCTCTAACTGAGATAGATGGACTAAAAGCGTAAATCCTTAGAAGCAACAGGAATCTTTTGCAGGTCAAACATCACAGGTTTAGGGTGTAATCTGTTACATAAAGCTCCCAGATTTAAGGAGACTTTTTA